CATTAAAATTATTTGAGCAAATCCTAACTCAATTAATTTTTGGCTCAAAGATAAATCGACTTGTATAATGTCCTAAATTTTTAGTTGGATTAAAGCAAAATAATTGACATTGAGCAGGGTTTAGCCTACCTTTTAAATATAAATTATTGTCATTAATTATAATAAATAATGTAAGAGAATGGAATAATATTCTTTGAAGATCATCTTTATTTTATTAGAAATTCATACTAAATATTAAATATAAATCTAACAACTTCCATCATTATTTTTTTAAATAGCAATTAAACAAGTTAATTAAGTATTAGCAGACTAAAAATATATGTAATAATAAATCTTATCTAATAATGAGGAGAACTATCATAAATATTGTCATTAATTTTATATATCAAATCATGCATCATTAAAGAAAATTTATTCTCATTCGCAATATCAAATTCTCACATAATTTTCTTCTCATCAGTAATGTCAAAGTCTGACATATAAGCCTCAACCCAATCTATATGTCCTCGTGAACTTCAATGCTAACAAACCCATTATATCAATTAAAACTAAAAACCAACTAAAATTTATATATATAAATTTATATATATAATTTATATATATTCGACTTGATATACTAGGACACATTAAAAGATGTAACCCAACATTGCTAATCAAATTTCCTGGATGTAATGAATTTGGATGAAGAGTTGTAAAATAAAGAATAATATGAATGAATTATTGTCAAAGATCGGGGTATCTAAAAGACACAAATAAAATTATTTTTATAAGTAAAATTCAAGATTTCAAAATTTCTTATGTTCATGAAGAAGCAAATTTTATGTGGGATAAAATAACAAACACCATTAAATAAGTGACAAAAGTTGTACTTGGAGAATCAAAAGAAAAAATCTCTATAAATAAAAATAGTTTGTGATGGAATAATAATGTAAAAAAAAAGATAAAATATAAGAGTTTATGTTATAAAAATTGGTTTAAATGTAAAAGCTAAGAAAACTGAGAAACATATCAAACAGAAACATATCAAACAGCCCGCACGGAGTCTAAGAGAACAATTTGTGACGCTAAAAATTATATTTTTAGTGATCTTTATAATAAATTAGATACTAAAGAGGGTGAAAAATATATTTATAAACTAGCCAAAAAAAGAGAATAAAATTAAAGATTTAACTCAAAGTAAAGTGTATTAATGATGAAAATCAAAAAAAAATTTCTTAGAAAAAAACGTCTTTCTAAGAAAAAGATTTTCAAAATAGTTAAGTGAGTTATTTTGATAAATTTTTCATTAAATATAGAAAAATACGATCAAACTTAGTTATCTTAATATCGTTAATAATAATAAAATATTTCATTTTTACCGTCATATTGCTAAAAAAGTTGGGGGGCTTTACAGAAAACCAATGGTGGAAAGTTTGTAGAACCTGATGCCTCCCAGTTGAAGTGTGAAAATATTTAAGAGATTTGGGAGTTTATTGGCTTACTAAACTCTATAGTATTATTTTAAAAACTAAAAAAAAATGTATGAATAGTGGAGGAAGAGCATTTTGGTCCCCATTTTTAATAATAAATGGGATGCACAAGAGTGCAAATTATAGAGAAATTAAGTTGATGTGTCATACTTTAAAATTATGGGAGAGGGTAATTCAACATAAGTTAAGATATATTACAAAGATTTCTCATAATCAATTTGGATTTATGTCGGCGGGTCTACTATGGAACTATACATTTATTGAGAGGTTTGATCGAGAAATTTAGAGGCAATAAAGAGGATCTATATATGATTTTTATTGATTCAGTAAAAACTTATGATAAGATTCCAACAGATATCTATTGGAGAGTTCTTGAGAAGAAAGGTGAAGTCATTAAAGATATGTATACAAGAACTATTACTTATGTTTGAACAGAAGGAGGATTGACCAAATATTTTCTTATTTATGTTGGTTTACATCACGGATCGGTTTTAAGCCCATATCTTTTTGCTTTAGTTGTGGATGGTCTTACCGGAGACTTACAGAGGATTTACGTTGGTGTATGTTCTTTACTGACGAAATCCTTCTCATGGATAAGACAAGAAAAAGCTAAGGAAAACTTGAATTATGGAGGTCCATCTTGGAGTCTAAAGGCCTTCTTTTGAGTAGAACTAAAACTGAATACATGGAATATAATTTTAGTACTAGTAGCTCTAGTGACAGAAATGTAACTATGGGTGATCAAATTATCAAAAGGTGTGAACACTTTAGATATCTCGGGTCTATTATTCAAAGTGATGGTGATATTAATGGGGGTGTTATTAGTAGAATTCAAGTTGGTTGGTTGAGTGGAGGAATGCTTCGGGCCTATTGTGTGATAGAAAAGTACCACTTAGACTAAAAGGAAAATTTTATAAGATGGCGGTGAGACCTGCAATGCTCTATGGTGCTGAATGTTAGTTTTTAAAAAAGGACAAAACCAAGTTAATTATTGCTGAGATGATAATGCTTAGGTGAATGGGTGGCTTTACACTCAGAGAAAAATTGTGAAATGAATCTATTCGTGATACGGTTGGTGTAGCTCCAGTGACGGACAAAATTAGAGAGTCGTCTTAAATGATTTGGTCACATTAAAAGTCAACCATCTAATGATCTGATTAGAAGAGTAGATGTTTTAGATTCGACTTATGTTAAGAAAGACAAAGGTTGAACTATGAAGACTTGGATATATTGTATAAAAAATGATTTTAATTTATTAGAATTAAATGAAAATATGACACTAAATAGGATGCAATGGAGGAAAATGATTCATGCAGCCGACCCCACTTAGTGGG